CTCCCCCGTTGTCCTGACTCGCTCGTACCTTTTGCGCGCGTCCGCCGTAGCTTGTCGGGTCGCAGCCTCTCGCCTCTTGGTGGCACGGTGGTATCGTGGGTTTCGGCGGCAGGCCGTCTACGACTGTGGGTTACGTGGCTCGGGGTCTGCTACTCCGCGGTTCCGTCGAAGTCGGGTTCGTTCGAGGGTAAGTCAGCGGTGGCTGCTCCTGCTGCTTAGTGACTACGGATACTGAGCTGAGCAGGGACGTGACTGGCTTATGTTGCTTATTCCCGTCGCCTATACTCCCAACCTCGATCTTGAACATTCCCGTCCCGCTGTTTCAGCGGGGCTTGGTGCTGCCCTGCGATTTCTTCAGGAGGTCGCAGTTACGCCTCACGGAAGTCTGCGTTGTGACGCGCATTTGCCCGGCCGTGTGGTCGACGCACTTTCATGCGCGGTTGCTATTTCTTTTTGTTTTCCGATGCGTAGTCAGCGCTGGACGTGCTGCGCCATCCATCTGGTGTGGTTTTGCGCGTTTTGGCGGTTTTTATTCGTGCTCGAGCTCTTGTTCCCACATCGTCTGTTGTTGCGCATTTGCCGCTTGAGGGGAGATGGTGCCCTTTGTGCCGTGCATACATTGTTGTTGCCACATGACGCGTTTTGTTTTGTTTTTTTTCCTGCTTGCTGCCGCGCAATCGTCGGCTAGAGGGACTTTCTGCCTCGTAGCAATTTATGTTTTTCTCTTTCGGCTCTTGCTTCGTGTTTTTCGGTTCCTGATTGGTTTTCTGCACTGCTGCGTGGGTGGCGGAGCTTTTGTGTCTCACGGTTTTGCACCTGTCTTCATTGTTCTACGTTAGCGAATGCTCTTGGGTAGCTGCCGGCATTCGCCTCCAAATTTTCAAAGCCAAGTTCTTCGCATTCCTCGCAGCCAATCAAACCCTGGCTCCCCTTTTACGAGCCGCGCTCTCCAAAGGGGGACTTCACGCCTTGTAACTTGGGACCAGGGCTTTAATGCAGCGGCCTTCACGACCGCCACGTCTGACGACTTCTGCGTTGAGGTGGTTGAAACGTGCGGCATTGAGGTGGTTGAAACCTCAGCCAATCAGGTTCGTCGTCGTCGCCTGTGTGATTACAGTGGCCGGCTACAGTATATCTATTGCGCAGATCGATGTGCCTCTCCATCCAAGTTGCTGCTTGCGTGAGGTTCTTCGGAATTCATGTGGTGCCCTCTTGCAGCAGCACTAGATTGCGAATGCGGTGGTGAAGGGTTTCAGAGGTATCTGCGACGTTCAGGTGCGCTCGACAGAGTTTGTTCCGGCGTGGTTTTCAAACTATTCCTCCTGATCCGAGGCGCACCACCTTTCCCTCTAATGAAATTGGCTGGTGCGCACGGCCACTCCTGGCAAACAAAAAAATGCCAAATGATGCCGTGCTGTGTGGGCACAAACCTTATAAAACCCGCATACACTTGCATAGAATGTTGCATAGATCATTTTAACAATTCTAACATGCCTGGAAAACTAAACCACAGTCCAGTGAGCTCGAAACCCCAAGAGTCCTCCTTCCTCCAGTAAGCCACTTCTGCTTCTCCTATCTGCACTTCCACAAGGTCGTTCATTCAGACACTCACCCTAAGTTTAGGCTTTTGACTGGCCAAGTGTGACTGACCAGCACAACATGGTATGGGGCTCTCTTTATTAGAACGTCGCCTTGTTTTTACAACATCCAATTTCGCCAGAGATCTTGAAGGCTCCGAGCGCCTGGCGAGTTGAGAAAGAAATTGTATAAATATCCTTTCATTTGGGAGAGAAATTGAATATGTTGTTTTTTTAGGACTTGTCACCTCACCGGTTCTCATCAAATCTCCTAGTATCCATGGCTAGGGGAAGCATTGTTCCCCCAGAATATCAGGCTGCAATGGCCTCACGCTTGCAGCCATTGAGGGCTGTCAAAGAGAATCACCCACTGTTAGGAGGACATTACAACCAACCGATTCTAACTGGCAAGTCAGTTTGTGGATGCTTCCTCACCAGTCTAATTGGTGACCTCTCTAGCATGGCTTGTAATTGTTTTATTACTTTCTGAGGGTGTCTTTTGATACGTTTGCTACACACCAGTAGATGACAACACAACAACGGAGCAAGGCCAAGGTACTTCCGCTGGCCATGAAGCAACGAATGTGGGCCCTCCGTCGGTTGGAACCGTGACAGTCAGGGGGAAAAAGCGTTCTCTGCAGAGCGTCTTGGAGGATGCTCCACCGGCGCCTCCACCTCTGGATCCAAACGTGCATACTTCGCGTAAGAGCGTCTCATATTTCCAGATTAAGCGGCTCGTTCCATGCAGTTGCTTACAGCCGCAACGCAATGCTTTGTTTTTGTGCTTTGTTGAACACCTTCTAACTATCTAATTGTGTGTACATTGTCGTAATGCCAACCCAATAACAGTCGAGCAGGAAAGGCCTGTGCTGCAAGGAGCTGAAGGGGCGGGAGAAGGTGCTGCTTCATCCGAGGGGGCAGCAAACGAGGAGGTTGCTGACGGCAGCTTGATGCTCCCCCTCGGTAAGTCTTCCACTGCCTTTCTTCCACACTATTCAAATGTCCTCATAAAGCACCGTAGCCAATGATTTCCCCATGCTATGTAGGTGATTTGTTCACGATTGCTACACACATGTGCTGTCCTCTTGTGACTCTCTTAATGCCCTCGCGTGGAAAACTTGCATAAGCTGAAGAGGGAAGTGGTCGGAATGACAATGACGAAGTGCGAGTGGATGAATTTCGCCCCTGAGACTGAACACTGGCTGAAACTTTATGTGGGTAAGTCCATGTCTGACTTCCCTCTGAGTGTGTGTAGAGGGTTTCTTACAGCACCTTTTGTGGTTCAAGATCACCTAGTGTGTTTCCACAGCATCTTCAATGCTCTTTTGAGTTGAATGATTGTCACACATAATGCCGTGATCGCAACGTTTACTATCTCCTTTCCCTTTTGCATTCGAAGTATGTTTCCCATGTTATAACCCTTTCCATCTCTCCATCACAAGTGTTCTTTGCCTAAAACAGTGGCAGCAAGGTTCAAGCCAGAATCAGACCAGGCGTACGCTTTCCAGCATCAGATTATTGACTCAGATGTGCTCTCCAAAACTCGGAAGATCTTCAACAACAGATTCGGCAGGCTTCTCTCTGACATTCGACATGCTGTGTTCACGGACCCCCCTCTGTGCATGATTGAGGTAGATACGGTTGGCAAAACCAAGGTCTTTACCAAGGATATAGACTTTGCAAGGAAGTGTCTCGAGTTTGTGAAGCTGAATGGGACAAGTAAGTGTGTTGTGTTCATTGCTCGTTCCCAATGCTTCCCTATATTTGGTTAACCACATGATACGAACGGTTCTTCCCCCAACAGGAGAATTTGGCATCACGTGGCATTTTTGGAATGGCGTCCCCTTTTCCAGCCCCGCGTTTTTGGCCGTTGGGGCCATTTGGAAGGAGACCGGGGCTGTGGTTGGGCTTTCCAAGGACCAGCTCCTCATCACCTTGGCAGCTGTAAGGATTTGGCACCATACATCAAATCCCCCGCTATATTCCTCTTTCTGTCATTTCTCATTAACTTCCGCCCCTCTCACTTCCTTAAACAATTTGCTGCCTTGTGACTTTCTTTGGTCATATTTGATGTACCATTCTCCTTATTCCTTTCCCTGTCTTATGCCCTGCCTCATGCCTTTCTCTGCCTCATGCCTTTCTCCGGTTTTTGCCTTTCTCTTCCTTATGCCCCATTTTGCCGCATGGCATTCTCTGCCGTATCTTGCACTCTGCGTTGAACCCTTCGCATCCTAATGCCCCTCTCACCCTGTATTCTTTCTCTGCCGTCTTTGGCTCACCGCCCTATGCCCCTCTCTGCCTTCAGCATTTCTCCGCCATTTGTCTCTCTGCTTCCTGCGTTTCTCTGCCCGTTAGGCCCTCCCAAGCCCGTGTTCCTCTCTCTACCTTCTGCCTCTCGTTGTCTTATGCCCCTCTCTGCCTTGTGCATTCCTAAGCTGCTTGTCTCTCTTTGCTTTGGCGCTGCTGCAGCCTTATGCCTCTCAGCTTCATTCCTACCTCTCCCTTATCCCCCTCTCAGCCCTTGCCTCCCTCTTCCTCTGTTTGAACTTTGCTGTATCCCATTTTTCTCTGCATTATGTCTCTCTTTGCCTTACTCTCTCTCTGCCATGTACGTTGACATGCAGGTCCGTTATGACCTTAGGAACCTAGATGTGACAAATGTCTCATTGGAGCGTTCGGGGGATGAAGATGCTTTTGGAAGGCAGGCACGGGTGTTGCAGCGCATCATCAATGAATTCAAGCCACCCACCCAGAACGGTGCATACTGCATCGGAAGCCTCTACTTGGTGGATTGGGTAACTATTGACGATGCCATCCTTGCGTCAGATGTGGTGGGTGACGAGGGTGTTGCGGCACGCCGTAGGAGATGAGGACGGAGGAGGGGGATGGGGAGGGGGAGAGGGGAGGAGGGGAGGGGTTAGGATGCTAGGTAGCTAGAGATGTGATATTTTTTGCTATGAATAAATCACTATGATATCAATAAAGAGCTTGCTATGACCTCTCATGTTTAAAAATAATGTGTGTTCTAGAAATCATTAATTTGGTTTTAGAAATATTGCAAATTTGAACATGGCTGTATATATGTTATCAGAGTAACATTCGGTACAGTCCAAGCGGATGTCACAAACCAACAAAAATAGCGTCAAATAGAATATGTAATGACGACGCGAGAAATACATGCGCCCATTCTCCATGGTAACATGTACATGGCTTATTGTAAGCGCGCTACTAACGGACTAGCGGCTCCAACAAGAGACTTGAAAAGATGCGCACGAACAAGATTCGTGTTGAATAGGGGCTGGTTTTCCCCCCCACATTTGGATACGCGACTCGGAATTGGGTTCGCGTGTTGCGTGCAACATGCTTAGGGGATGAGCACGCAACACCCCTTGAGAGTCTTGAAAGCAACTCCCAAAACGGAGCCAACCCAACACCCCACCCTACGCTTGCATGCATCTCCCATCGGACTTGAAAAACCAACCTGCCAAATTTCTGATGCAGGCGGTGGTGGCCGGCAGCGACTACGCGGTTCGTGTGGTGGAGGGCAACGAGGACTGCGTGGCGCTTGCCTGGGGCAGGCGGATGCAGACACGCGGCGGGTGGGGCGCGCAGCACACGGCGCAGATGACGATGACGTTGGCGACGGGCGGTGCTGACGCCAGCCCCGGAGGGCAGCAGAGGGCCGCATGCTTGGGTGAAGATGACCCCAGGGCGCGGGAGACAGGCGGGGAGGAGGCGAGGCAGCAAGGGAGCGGTGGGACGGCGTGGAGGCGACAAGCGTCACGCGGCAAGGCACGGCGGAGGAAGGCGAGCGGCATCACCATGCTGCCCGCACTCACGCCGCTGCCTCGCTACACCGCTTGGATCGTCGACTCCGAGTGAGTGAGCCATGAGGGAGGCAGCCTGAGTGCGTCAGCAGCGAGTGAGGCAGCCGTGAGTGCGTCAGCAGCGAGGGAGGCACCCGTGAGTGCGTCAGCAGCGAGGGAGGCAGCCGTGAGTGCGTCAGCAGCGAGTGAGGCACCCGTGAGTGCGTCAGCAGCGAGGGAGGCAGCCGTGAGTGCGTCAGCAGCGAGGGAGGCAGCCGTGAGTGCGTCAGCAGCGAGGGAGGCAGCCGTGAGTGCGTCAGCTGCGAGGGAGGCACCCGTGAGTGTGCAGCAGCGAGGGAGGCACCCGTGAGTCCGTCAGCAGCGAGGGAGGCACCCGTGAGTGCGTCAGCAGCGAGGGAGGCATCCGTGAGCGCGTCAGCAGCGAGGGAGGCATCCGTGAGTGCGTCAGCTGTGGCACTTATCCTGTTTGACTGCTATCGGGCTGCCCATGGCTCACCCAAAGCGCCCTATGGCCTCCCAGATTCCCGATTGCATCTCCTTTTGAGGCGCCTCAAAAGTTTTATCTCCCGATATCTTCATGTGCATATGTGCGTGCGCCTGTTCGCCCAGCAACGGCGGGCGCGTGGACATGTACGAGAAGGCGGAGGAGGACGAGGACGAGGAGAGGGCCAAGCGGGCGGCCATCACCAGCTTCGGCGAGCCGCGGTGCTCCGCCAGGGAGCTCCCCTTCCGGTGTGCGCCTTGCCTTCACCATTGCTGCCGCTCTTGGCGTTTCAGTATCTGGCTGTGTGCTGAGGCGCAGAGAACCTGTGTGCCCCAATTCCCTCCCTTTTCTGCGCCTATCGCCCTCCCCTCCATGCGCCCATCGCCCTCCCCTCCGTGCGCCCATCTTCCAATGGCCCTCTTGTCAATCGCAGCACGTTTGGGGAGTTCGAGGCGAGTCACAGGAGAGGCCCGTTCGGTGAGACCCACTCGCCCTCACGTGCACCCGCTGTGCTCGCTCTATGCCCGTCCCACCCGGCCGAGTGGCATGCCACACCGCGCTCACCAGTGTGCCTGGCACGGGGCCTGGGGCCTGGCAGCCACGCCCTCGCCGGTTGCAGCACGCTCAAAGCGCTGCCCACTGCCTGCTCGGCGCGCAACATGCCCTAACCCTGTTTTAGCTGTTGGTTGCCGTGCTGTGGTGCTGTGGTGCTGTGGTGCAGAGGGGCGGCCTTTGAGGGACGTGCGCGAGTCAGCCCTGTCGTACGACCGCCTCTTCTGCTGCGTCTGCCGGGTGAGGCGCCCGCCCTCATGCCCGCAATCACTGCCCTCATGCCCGCACCCACCTCTCTGCCTGCTGTCCTTTGTTCCATGCACGTTCAGGCAAACTTGTGCTTTTCCAAACATTCACATTGCTCCTGGCTTGAAACTGGCCTGATCTAGTGCTGTCGCCCCATGCATTTGTGATGTGTGTGTGTGCGTGCGCGCGCGTGCGTGCGTGGGCATGTGTGCACACGTTTGTGTGCTTTCATCCATCGTCCCTCCCTCCCACCGCCCAGCGCTTTGACTGTGAGCTGCACGGCAACAGCCTTGCAACCACCTTCAAGGTGCCACGCTCTCCCACTCCCCCACTCCCCCACTCTCCTGCTCTCCCACTCTCCTGCTCTCTCACTCTCTCACTCCCCTCTCTACTCTATCCTCACTGCCCACTCTCTCCTCACTCCCCTCGCTCTTCTCGCTCCCCTCACTCCCTCTCAATCCGGAATCTCCTCGTGGCCCTCGCCTGCATCACCCTACTCACCCTGCTTCCCATGCTTCCCATGCTCCCCATGCTCCCCATGCTCCCCATGCTCCCCCATGCTCCCCATGCTCCCCATGCTCCCCATGCCCCCCCTGCTCCCCCTGCTCCCCATGCTCCCCATGCTCCCCATGCTCCTCATGCTCCCCATGCTCCCCCTGCTCCCCATGCTCCTCATGCTCCTCATGCTCCCCATGCTCCCCATGCTCCCCATGCTCCCCATGCTCCCCGTGCTCCCCATGCTCCCCATGCTCCCCATGCTCCCCATGCTCCCCATGCTCCCCATGCTCCCCATGCGCCCCATGCTCCCCATGCTCCCCATGCGCCCCATGCGCCCCATGCTCCCCATGCTCCCCATGCGCCCCATGCGCCCCATGCTCCCCATGCTCCCCATGCTCCCCATGCTCCCCATGCGCCCCATGCGCCCCATGCTCCCCATGCTCCCCATGCGCCCCATGCGCCCCATGCTCCCCATGCTCCCCATGCTCCCCATGCTCCCCATGCGCCCCATGCATCCCTGGGTGCTCCGTGGCCGTGGCAGGACCTGACAGCGCCATTCGCCCTCACCACGCTACCCCAACCACCCGCTGCGCCCTGTGGGCCCCACTGCCATGTGCTGGTATGCCGCACTGCCGTGCGCTCGCATGCCACACTTCCATGTTGCATGCCGCACTTCCATGTGCTTGCATGCCGCACTGCCATGTGCTCGCATGCCGCACTGCCATGTGCTCACATGCCGCACTGCCATGTGCTCACATGCCGCATTGCCATCTGCTCGCATGCCGCACTGCCATGTGCTCGCATGCCGCACTGCCATGTGTTGGAGATTCTAGCTTCTTCGTTGCTGGCGGATGCGTTCCCCCTGGCTGCATTGTCCTGCTTCTCAGCGTTGGAGCTCTGCGGTGCATCGTCATCTGCTGCGCCGCATCATCTGCTGCCCGCCGTGTGGCTGTGAGTGCAGGGCGGCGGCGCAGCGGGGCAGGGGAAGCGGGCGTGGAGCGACGAGGACCGCGTGATGGCCGCCATCGCGCTGCCGCTGCTGCAGTACGACTGGTGAGGGGCCGGGGGACAGGTGGGCAGAGGGGCAGGGGGGCAGGTGGGCAGAGGGGCAGGGGGGCAGGTGGGCAGAGGGGCAGGTGGGCAGGTGGGCAGAGGGGCAGGCAGGCAGGTGGGGCAGGCACGTGCACACACTAGGAGATCACAGCCTTGCACGCAATGCTCTCCGATGTTGGTCATTGCCACTTGCCATCGCATGGTGCCATTGGGGTCCGCCTATTGAAGATCTTATTCTGCCATCTAGTACCATTGGCGTGCCCGTGCTCTTCTGCTTCTGTCCTCTGCACCCATCTGTGCGCGCAGCTGTCTGCTGGCCAGCACGCTGCAGAGGGGCCTGCGGACCTGCATTGAGCTGCATGCGCTCATGCGCCACCTGCACCAGGTACAGCCGCCTGCACCAGGTACTGCCACCTGCACCAGATACAGCCGCTTGCACCAGGTACAGCCGCCTGCACAAGGTGCAGCCAATCCGTGTGTAGTGTAGCTCGTGGGGTTCAAGTCGTTTGCTTTGAGAGCCTCAAACCGCGTGTCCATGGTCCCTCTCCCTCATCCTCACGCTCTCCCTCTCCCTCACCCTATTGGTACTTTGTATTACATAGACGAAGGGTACGTGCAAGGCATAGGGACACGCACAAAGGTGAGTCCTAACAGCCCGTGCCGGAGGACCCTAAGGGTCTCCCTCTCTCTCACCCTCTCCCTCTCCCTCACCCTCTCCCACTCCCTCTCCCTCACCCTCTCCCTCTCCCTCTCCATCTCTCTCTGCCTCTCCCTCTCCCTCTCCCGCGCCCTCGCCCTGCTCTCGTTCGTGCAGGAAGGCGTGGCTGAGGGCCGCACCGGAGTGGGTCCCAGCAACCCCAGGCGCCATGCGTGGTGGCTGGAGGCGGAGAGGGAGAGGGGGGGGGCGGCAGGTGCGGCAGCAACCAGCGCGTCCGTGCGGGCGCTGATGCAGCAGCGGGGAAGAATCCAGCCGGGGGAAGTCGTGAGTGCCGACAGCGGGGGTGTGGGTGCTCCTGCTGCTGTGTGTGCTCCTGCTGCTACGGGCATTCCGATACCGACCACGGGCGACTGCCCAAGTCATTGCCGCAGTGTCTCTTACTCGTGCCGTCGCCGTGTGTGTGCTGCCCCTCTTGCTGCCAGGAGCCGTACCATCCATGCTCGTGCGTGGGGCCGTGCTCCCCAGGCAGCTGTGCGTGCCGCCAGGGAAACAACTTCTGCGAGAAACAGTGCAGGTGGGGATGCCTGCCACGACGCCTGGTCATGCACTCACTGCCACGACGCCTGCTCATGCACTCACTGCCACGACGCCTGGTCATGCACTCACTGCCACGACGCCTGGTCATGCACTCACTGCCACGACGCCTGGTCATGCACTCACTGCCACGACGCCTGGTCATGCACTCACTGCCACGACGCCTGGTCATGCACTCACTGCCACGACGCCTGGTCATGCACTCACTGCCACGACGCCTGGTCATGCACTCACTGCCACGACGCCTGGTCATGCACTCACTGCCACGACGCCTGGTCATGCACTCACTGCCACGACGCCTGGTCATGCACTCACTGCCACGACGCCTGGTCATGCACTCACTGCCACGACGCCTGGTCATGCACTCACTGCCACGACGCCTGGTCATGCACTCACTGCCACGACGCCTGGTCATGCACTCACTGCCACGACGCCTGGTCATGCACTCACTGCCACGACGCCTGGTCATGCACTCACTGCCACGACGCCTGGTCATGCACTCACTGCCACGACGCCTGGTCATGCACTCACTGCCCTCAAGTGATCGTCTTAAGTGAGCCATCCTGTATCGGAGCATGAGTGCGCACCACGCAGTCAAGCTGCTCGCTCGTGCATCCACGTGTGAATGTCGGCATGCCTTCACCTGCCGGGCCATCCGCTCACCCCCTCTCCGTCCACTGCTGTGGCTGCGGGGCGCTCTCAGGTGCTCCACGGACTGCTGCAACTTCTTTCCCGGCTGTCACTGCCGCGGCCCCTGCACCCTGCTCACGTGCCTATGCATGCAGGCTCACCGCGAGTGCGACCCTGACATCTGCGGGCAGTGCAAGAGGTGAGACATGTGCGGGCAGTGCAAGAGGCGAGACATGTGCAGGCAGTGCAAGAGGTGAGGCGCACAGTTGACATGCGCCCTCACTTGGTCCCATCCATGCACTCGCATCTGCGACTCTTCTCGTGCCCAACCGCCCTGCCTGCCCTGCCTGCCCTGCTGCAGCACGGAGCCCGGGTCATGCCGCAACATGCAGATGGCGCTCCGCCACTCCGTGCAGGTGGGATGCCACCCACGCCTGGCCGCATGGGATGCCACCCACGCTTGGGTGCACGGCCGCATGGCAGCATGGCAGCATGGGAGCATGGGAGCATGGCAGCATGGCAGCATGGGAGCATGGGAGCATGGCAGCATGGCATGACGCATGTCTGCACTCATCATCCCTCCGTCTGCATGTGTCATTCTGTCCCCATCCTCACTTCTCCCTGCCCTCGCCCTGCCTCCCCCCTGCATGTGGGCCGCGTGCAGGTTGAGGTGAAGCCGTCAGCGCTGGCGGGGATGGGAGCATACCTGCTGGTGGGTGCATCGCCATGCCCGTCACACAGGACACTCATTGCACGGGCCATGTGTCCGCATGTGGTGTCATGGCATGTCTTTCCATGGCATGTATGTCAGGCGCGTGAGGTGGCGTGTGTGATCATGTGACGCATACAAGGCCGCACCGATTCTAAGCACTGCTGCCTGCCGTCCTGCTTTCCCGCCATGTGGCCACCTCCTGCATCCTGCGTGGTGCGTCGTGCCGCACCAGCATCTGTTGCTCAATCACGTTGGCTGCCCTTTCTTGGGCTCTCCCATCGCGGCACCCGTGCCTCGGGGCGTGGCATGGTGGGCAGGGGAAGGCGCGGCGCGGCGAGCTGGTGGGGGAGTACACGGGCGAGGTGGTGGGGAACGACGATTCGGGGAGCAAGACGTACGAGTTCGAACTCACCAGCACCGTGAGTGTGGCGTGCCAGGGGTTGGCGTGCCAGGGGGGTGGCGTGCCAGGAGGGTGGCGTGCGAGGAGTGGGTGAGTTGTGCATGGTGGAATAATGCGAGCCTGGCCGGGCTGTAGATGATATGACCTCCTTGCGTGCGTGTGTGTGAGTGTGCATGGTGGTTGCGGTTGCGCGTGGCCATGGGCGGTGGCAGGATGTGTTGGACGCGGAGCACAAGGGCAGCACGCTCAAGTTTGCCAACCACTCGAGGAGCCATGCCAACTGCTTCTGCAAGGTGGGATGGGCAGGCGCCACACGGCGTGACGAATGGAGGGACGCATGGATGTGTGAGCATGCACGTGTGAGCATGCACGTGTGAGCATGCACGTGCAAGCATGCACGTGTGAGCATGCACGTGCGAGCATGCACGTGTGAGCATGCACGTGTGAGCATGCACGTGTGAGCATGCACGTGTGAGCATGCACGTGTGAGCATGCACGTGTGAGCATGCACGTGTGTGCATGCACGTGTGAGCAAAAATTCCTCGCTAGCTTGAGCGAAATGGCTCTTTCACCCATCACATTGCGTGAATTTGCCTTCAATGCATTGGCTAATGCATTGGCCCTCAATGCGTGCACCCATCAATGCATGCACCCATCAATGCGTGCACCCATCAATGCGTGCACCCATCAATGCGTGCACCCATCAATGCGTGCACCCATCAATGCGTGCACCCATCAATGCATGCGCCCCGGTAGGTGGTCAACGTGAGTGGCGTGCCGCGCGTTGGCATCTTTGCGTTGAGGTCGCTGCGGGCGGGCGAGGAGGTGCTGTACGACTACTGCAGCGCAAACCGCCGCCAGCCGCTGTTCCGCGTCAAGGAGCCGCCCAGGGGTGAGGGGTGGCGGCGCTGGATGGGGTGCTTGATGAAGGCGCTGGATGGGGTGCTTGATGAAGGCGCTGGATGGGGTGCTTGATGAAGGCGCTGGATGGGGTGCTTGATGAAGGCGCTGGATGGGTGCTGATGGGCGCGGAGGGTGCTGATGGCGCTGGATGGGGTGCTTGATGAAGGCGCACAATGGGGTGCTTGATGAAGGCGCACAATGGGGTGCTTCATGAAGGCGCATGTGGCGTGCGCCAGTGCTGATGCACTCGACACATCTCTGGCGTGCACCCGTCCTCACTTGCCCTCTCTCCGTCCACATGCTCCCATCATGCCTGTTCCATTGTCTCCCTTCCGATCCTGTCCGCTCTTCTCCTGCCCGCCCTTCTCCTGCCCGCCCTTCTCCTGCCCGCCCTTCTCCTGCCCGCCCTCTCCTGCCCGCCCCTCTCCTGCCCGCCCCTCTCCTGCCCGCCCGTCTCCTGCTCGCCTCCTGCCCGCCCTTCTCCTGCCCGCCCTTCTCCTGCCCGCCCTTCTCCTGCCCGCGCTCCTTGGCCTCAGGACGACGAGGAAGAGGAAGGGGGGGGAGAGGAGGGGGAAGAGGCAGGGGTGCAGGGAGAGGCGGAGGGAGCAGGAGTGGGGAGGCAGAGGGGGGGAAGGGGAGCAGTGATAGCAAGGAGGAGAATGTGGAGAAGGAAGCGATCAGACGTCTCAACAGATTGTGAGTTGTGGATATTGCACATCCATGCAATGACATGCCCACATATGCAATGACATTGCAATGACATGCCCTCATACGCAATGACATTGCAATGACATGCAACGACATGCCGTCATATGCAATGACATGCCATCACACGCGATGCCATGCCATCATATGCAATGACATGCCATCACACGCGACGCCATGCCATCATATGCAATGACATGCCATTATGTGAAATGACATGCCATCACGTGCAATGACATGTCAACAGATGTCCTGGCTTCATCATACGCCACGTGGTGCCATGCTGGTGCCGTGCATGTGGTGCCATGCACGTGGTGCCATGCTGGTGCCGTGCATGTGGTGCCGTGCATGTGGTGCCGTGCATGTGGTGCTGTGCATGTGGTGCTGTGCATGTGGTGCCGTGCATGTGGTGCCGTGCATATTGGTGCCGTGCATGTGGTGCCGTGCATATTGGTGCCGTGCGGGTGGTGCGATCACGCTCCAGCGTCAGGACCACACCACGGGATGCCAGGCACAGCAATGCCTGAGGGGAATTTCCACCCACGCAGTGTCATGCATGCATCATGTGCCATGCATGCATCATGTACCATGCATGCATCATGTACCATGCATGCATCATGTACCATGCATGCATCGTGTACCATGCATGCATCGTGTGCCATGCATGTGCCACAGTGTGCTTTCCGAGTAAACCAACCATGTGCTGCTGTTTGACTCAAGGCACATCAGATTTATCTGCCACAATCCTGCTGTTTCTCCTGCTGTTTGTCTGAGTGTGTTGTACATGTGCACGTGGATGCTCCATGCGAATGACCATGCGAACATGCTCCATCTGTCTGTTAACATGGATACTAGCACCTGTGTTTGTGCAAGTGCCTGTATGCGTGCATGGGTTTCTGGGGGTGCAAACATGTTCTCTGCATGTTTGGGTGCACGGGCATGTGCATGGGTGTTGCATGGACACCATCACGATCACCATCACCATCACGATCACGATCACCATCACGATCACGATCACGATCACGATCACGATCACCATCACCATCACCATCACCATCACCATCACCATCACTATCACCATCACCATCCATTGCAGGTGGGGCAGCGAGGACAAGAGCAATGTGGATGAGGAAGAGGAGCGAGTGAGTGCAGGGGGTGCAGGGAGTGCAGGGAGTGCAGTGGTTGGTTGCAGGTTACAACCGAGTGAAACAGCGTCGAAAGACTTGTTCGGCACACACTCCTTCCCCTCGACTCACATTCTCCGTCTTTTGTTCCTTGCTGCTGTGCTCCCTTCTTTCCCGTTCACCCTGCCATCCCACCCCTGCCACCGCCACCGCCACCCGCCTGCCCCCCCCAGCTGCTGCAGGACTTCACGGACGTGCCGCCGCAAGACGTGCACCTCATGGCCGCCTGGAACCGACTCCTGCGCTCCCTCCACGTGTGAGCCCATGCACCCCTCTCCGTGTGAACCACCTTGGGCCTCCTCCCCTCGTGTCTCCCTCTCCTGCCCACCTCTCCGTATGGGACCCTCCTTACTGCATGCCCCCTCGCTCTCGTGCACTCCCTCTCTTCCCGCCTGTCCCTCGCCTCCCAAGTCGTTTGCGCGGCCTCGTATCCCCGCCGTGCTGCCGTGCCGCCATGCTGCCATGCCGCCATGCTGCCATGCTGCCATGCTGCCATGCCGCCATGCTGCCATGCCGCCATGCCGCCATGCTGCCATGCTGCCATGCTGTCATGCTGCCATGCTGCCGTGCTGCCGTGCCGCCATGCTGCCATGCCGCCATGCCGCCATGCCGCCATGCCGCCATGCTGCCATGCTGCCATGCTGTCATGCTGCCATGCTGCCATGCTGCCATGCTGCCATGCTGTCATGCTGCCACATATTTCACTGCCTCGTGCCAGGTTGCGCTGTGTGGCCTGATATGGCATGGATATTGACATTTCACATGCCATGGGGGTCGACGTTTGCCATGCCACAAGGAATGACATATATGCCGTGGGGATGGCAGGAAACTTCCCGACAAGAACCATTCGACGGTGGTGAAGGCATTCGTCTTCTCCGAGTGTGAATACCTCCAGTTGTCGCCACTCATGGCCAGGTAAATACCTCCAGTCGTCGCCACTCATGGCCAGGTGAATACCTCCAGTTGTCGCCACTCATGGCCAGGTGAATACCTCCAGTTGTCGCCACTCATGACCAGGTGAATACCTTGAGGCTCGTTGCCATTTGCCATGCCGACTGGCGGGTTTCGCACACAAGCAGAGTGTGAGGTGGTGGCATCGAATCCGAATGCGTCCGCATGAAGCACACCAGGTCCGTCCCTCATCTCCTGCCCTCCATCATCTCCTGCCCTCCATCATCTCCTGCTCTCCATCATCTCCTGCCCTCCATCATCTCCTGCTCTCCATCATCTCCTGCCCTCCATCATCTCCTCCCCTCCATCATCTCCTGCCCTCCATCATCTCCTGCCCTCCATCATCTCCTGCCCTCCATCATCTCCTGCCCTCCATCATCTCCTGCTCTCCATCATCTCCTGCCCTCCATCATCTCCTCCCCTCCATCATCTCCTGCCCTCCATCATCTCCTGCCCTCCATCATCTCCTGCCCTCCATCATCTCCTGCCCTCCATCATATCCTGCCCTCCACATCTTCTCCCATCCCGCTTCTCATTGCACCTCCCGCGCCCCTCTCTCCGCCCCCCGCAGCTCTCTCTTCCTCTTCCTGGGCAAGCTCTGGCACTGCCGCCTCATCAACTCGGGCGACATCCTGCGCTGCATGCATATCGTGCGCACCGCTGGACAATGGTATGTCGTGGGCTATGGTATGCATGCATGTGGTATGCCTGCATGTGGTATGCCTGCACGAGGTATGCCTGCATGTGGTATGCCTGCAAGTGGTATGCCTGCATGTGGTATGCCTGCATGTGATATGTCTGCATGTGGTATGCCTGCATGTGGTATGCCTGCATGTGGTATGCCTGCACGTGGTATGCCTGCACGTGGTATGCCTGCATGAGGTATGCCTGCATGTGGTATGCGTGCATGTGGTATGCCTGCATGTGGTATGCGTGCATGTGCTGCTGTGCACTGGCCTATGGTCCGCCAAGCACACTAGTTTCAATGACTATCTTGTGCCCAAAAAACTGGTCGGCTTAATACACTTGCTACTGTCTTGCGTCGCTACCCCCTTTCCAAGCAGTAAACACGAGACTTGTGTGGGGCTTCACAATGTATGGTAAGCGTTTTGGTTTCTTCCTTGCTCTCGCTTCCTTTCCCTCCATTCTTTATCCTCCTCTCAGCTTCGCCCTGCCTCCCCCCAACCTCTTTTTGCCGTGGCCCTCCACCTCTCGCTGTCTCGCCCTCTCCCCGCGCACACTCCACGCGCACACATGCGCTCTCTCCACGCGCACACATGCGCTCTCTCCACGCGCACACATGCGCCTCTCTCCACGCGCACACATGCGCCTCTCTCCACGCGCACACATGCTGCCCTCTCTATGCGCACACATGCGCCTCTCTCCACGCGCACACATGCTGCTCTCTCCACACGCACACATGCTGCTCTCTCCACGCGCACACATGCTGCTCTCTCCACAAGCACACATGCTGCTCTCTCCACACAAACACATGCTGCTCTCTCCATGCGCACACATGCTGCTCTCTCCACGCGCACACATGCTGCTCTCCCCCCCCGGCCATCACCCCCTCTGCCATGCCTGCAGCCTGCCTGGATCGCTGCAGGGCGAGTCACCAGCGGAGGCCTTTGCACACGCCTACAAGAGGAAGCGTGCTCTCTCACCCACTCCAAGTGCGCCCTGACCCACCGCCACCGCCACCGCCATTACCAGCGGCTGCGGCTGCGGCACAGCAGCGGTGGCACAGCAGCGGCGGCCACCTGCTGCCAGAGGAGCGCCTGCGGCTGCGGCTGGTGGTGATGTGGCCGGCGCTGGCACCGAGCATGTGTGTGGGGCGTAGCTCCAGTGGTCCCCCCTGTGGGCCATACCTCCCAGGGCAGCAAGCAAAGCAACAAGTCGGGGTGACCCCCTGCCTGACAAGGTGTGGTGTGGACCGTCCTTTGTTCCCTCCCCATGCTGCCACTGCCGGGCCCAGCCCAGCGGAGGACTAAAATGCATGGCCCACAGTAGACTCATTTTATCAAAGTAGACTGCTTTCTATGAGAGTCAAAGTGTATACAACAAAATAGGCTCAACTAATGATGTATACTAAAAGCCTAAAAGGTAAGCTGGCACTCCGCCCCGAACGCAGCAAGCAGTGTGTGGAAACTGGACATGCTGAAAGGGAAGGTGATGCAGCAGAATCAAGCCCGTGCTCATTGGCAAATAGCATTTGACAGGTTCACAGCAGACCACGCACAGCAGGGCATGCAGTCACAGCTCTGCACGTGGCATCTCATCCCACCCCATCTACAACTGCACTCCCACTCCATTCCCAGCTGTCTGTGGCAGTGCGACCCTCTCCTGCCTGCCTGCCTGCACACTGTGCGCCCTCTCCATTCTGCCACCTCCAAGTTCACAGCCACGTCACCACCCAGGCAGATGCCGCAGCACCACAGCCTGCGCTGCTGCGTGCTCCGCCTCTGCTACACCTCTGCTCACGCGGCACGCTCAAGGGCATGCGGCAAAGGGCTGTGACACACGACAGGACGGGCCATGTTGTGCCATGAGGGACGCTCAAGTGCGTGGTGGAGCACTTGGGCCACGAGACGGCATCGATGCACCCCCAAATCAGGCTGCGGTGCGGGAGACGATATGGGCCAATCAGGGCAAGTCAGGGCAAAATCAGCGGGCAAGTCAGCGGGCAAATCAGCGGGCAAATCAGCGGGCAAGTCAGCGGGCAAGTCAGCGGGCAAATCAGCGGGCAAGTCAGCGGGCAAGTCAGCGGGCAAATCAACGGGCAAATCAGCGCGGGTGAGCCGTGGGCAGGGCGAGGAGGGAGGGCGAGGTGGAGTCGGCTTCAAGGGACAGCCGCTGGCGCTTCCTGCGCTCCCGCGCTGTCCTCCCCCCGCTGGAGGGCGGCGAGGCAGCGGCCACCACTGGGCTCAGAAACGGCAGGGGCGCCCGCAGGGCTGCCCTAACAGGCGTGCTGCCCTCCGCTGCCCTGCGCGCCTGGCCTGCCCCCCCACGGCCCTGCGCTGCCCCCCCACGGCCCTGCGCTGCCCCCCCACGGCCCTGCGCTGCACCCCCACGGCCCTGCGCTGCCCCCCACGGCCCTGCGCTGCCCCCCCACGGCCCTGCGCTGCCCCCCCACGGCCCTGCGCTGCCCCCCACGGCCCTGCGCTGCCCCCCCACGGCCCTGCGCTGCACCCCCACGGCCCTGCGCTGCCCCCCACGGCCCTGCGCTGCCCCCCCACGGCCCTGCGCTGCCCCCCCACGGCCCTGCGCTGCCCCCCCACGGCCCTGCGCTGCACCCCCACGGCCCTGCGCTGCCCCCCCACGGCCCTGCGCTGCCCCCCCACGGCCCTGCGCTGCCCCCCCACGGCCCTGCGCTGCCCCCCACGGCCCTGCGCTGCCCCCCACGGCCCTGCGCTGCACCCCCACGGCCCTGCGCTGCCCCCCCACGGCCCTGCGCTGCCCCCCCACCGCCCTGCGCTGCCCCCCCGCCCGCGCTGCCCCCCACGGCCCTGCGCTGCCCCCCACGGCCCTGCGCTGCCCCCCACGGCCCTGCGCTGCCCCCCCACGGCCCTGCGCTGCACCCCCACGGCCCTGCGCTGCCCCCCCACGGCCCTGCGCTGCCCCCCACGCCCTGCGCTGCCCCCCCACGGCCCTGCGCTGCCCCCCCACGGCCCTGCGCTGCCCCCCACGGCCCTGCGCTGCACCCCCACGGCCCTGCGCTGCCCCCCACGGCCCTGCGCTGCCCCCCCACCGCCCTGCGCTGCCCCCCACGGCCCTGCGCTGCCCCCCCACGGCCCTGCGCTGCCCCCCCACCGCCCTGCGCTGCCCCCCCACGGCCCTGCGCCCCGCTGTGCAGGGCCCCTGCCGCACCCGCCTGCCTCGCTGCCTCCTCCCTCTCTCTTTCTTTCCTCTGCTTCCTCTTTTTCTTGCTGAGCTTCCCACCACTGCTGCCACGTGTTACCACATTCGCTGCAGGTGAAAGCACATTCGCTGCAGGTGAAAGCACATTCGCTGCAGGTGTTACCACGTTGGCTGCAGGTGTAGCCACGTTGGCTGCAGGTGTAACCACGTTGGCTGTAGGTGAAGCGGCATTCACATCATTTGCAGCTACGCTCTTGCAAGGAGTGGCCTGACCAGCACGGCGAGCAGCACTGCCGTGAGACACCACTCCTCTCTCACATGGCCTGGCCTCTGCCCCGCCCTCCCCACTCATATCTACCTCCTCATGCCCCCGCTGTTCTCCCCTGTCCGCCCCCTCTGTCCCGTCCTCCCTGTCTCCACCGTCCTCCCCTTCCCCGTTCTCCTCTCCCTCCTCCCGTTCCTCGTCATCGCATCGCGCTTCTTTCCTCCCATCCGCGTCCCCCCCCTGCACCTCACCTTTCCTCCCATCCGCGCCCACGGCTGCCTCTCCGCCTCTCCCGCCACTCCCACCCCCTCTATCTTTCCCTCCGTCCCCGCCCTCCTCTCCCTCCCCCTCCACCTCCCCTCCTCCCTCTCGCTCGCCTCAGCAGCCCCATTTGCACCCTTCACGCACCCACCTCCCTCCTCAGGCGCATCCCCCCCTCCCCCTCCTTCCCCACCCGCATCCCCCTCTTCGCGCCTGCTGCTGCCCTCTCCACCGCCTCGCTGCTCCTCCCTCTTCCTCTTCCTCTTCCTCTTCCTCTCCCTCTGCATCCCCCCCACCTCAGGCGCATCCCCTGCAGCCTTGCCCGTCCCCTCAACCCCTTCCCCTCCCTCCGTCTCCTCCTCTCCCCCGCCCCCTGCGCGCCCCCCCCCCGTTCAGCTCGTGTGCCGCCGCCATCCCCCCCGCCACCTGCAGCCGCGCCCTCTAACCGCTGCTCGCCCCCCTCGTCCCCCCGTCCCCCTCTGTCAACTCGCATCGCTTTATCCTCTCCCCGCTCCTCTCCACCCTTCTTTCCTTCCTCCTCTCCCCCCTCTCCTCCTTTCCCAGTTCCCTCCACCCTTCCCTCCTCTCTTCCTTTCTCTTCCACTCCTCCCCGGCCTTCTCCCTCCTGCGCTTCCTCGTCTC